AACAATATTAAATAGGAATCAATTTTCATATCATCATTCATCTGTTTTTTCATATTGAATAGCCAGAACTCATTTAACCAAGTATAACAGATGTGAAATGAAGTTCTTGCTTAATTGTGCTTCTGAATACATTCTTGAAATCTGTATTGCCATCAGAATCTCCTGCTGGTGGCAACATTTGCTGCTGAAACAAGACTGCATTGCTCACAGTGCTTCTACATAATGTTTCATTGTACCCAGGGCATCCAAGATATCTAAACCATATGAGCTGGGTTGACCTATACAGCTCCTGGCATTTTGTATCACGTTGGAAGAAAGATATATGAGTTAACTGGAATGGACTGCAGATAGGCCAGTTCTTCTTGGATAGCTGATGATCAATACTGTAAAATTGGACCGGATCAGTAATCTGTTAGGTTAAATAGTTACACAAAAACATACTTCACAAAGTATGCATAACGGGAGCCCTTTGTTGTGTTGCCAGGTGATCACTGATGGAGGTGACCATTAATGGAGCTGATCTCCTGATCTGAAGATAGTCCTAAACCCCTTCACTTCCTCTGCTGTAGAATGTTTCCCCTCCTATTCTTATACAGAATGAATTCTTATACAGAGCTTAGATTAAGGATCACTGTTGTGATAACAACATGGTAAAACAAATGGGTGTGGTAAGATAATATTTATAATGCAGGATCGGGCTTTAGCACAGCAGGTTAAACACCAGATGCAATAACTCTTGCCAACTGAAAGGTTGACAGATCAAAGCCTGGGTCAGGGTAAGCTCCTGGCCTTTAGCCCAGCTTCTGCCTACCTAGCAGTTTTGAAAACAGTAATATGAGTAGATAAATGGGTACCACTTAAGCAGGGAGGCATTTAAGGCACCTATAAGGAAATGCCACAAAAATGCTGTCGATGCCATCAAGGAGGAAGTTCACAAACAAGTGGAAAGTGGAGTGACAGCACTCCCACCCCAGCCCCCCAGGGGCTGGAACCAAGCACAGCCTCCAAGATGCCAAAGATGGGAAAGTCTATCTATACCTCTGTCTATGTACAGTTGTCTGTCTTGTCAGTGTATAAATGGCATTGAATATTTGCCATATATATGATCTGCTCTAAGTCCCCTTTGAGGTGAGAAGAGCAGAATATAAATACTGTAAATAAATGCACAGTGTATACATTATAGGAATAGATAATGAAAAAGTATCAATTTTAAGTGACCCAAGGATAAGCAAAGTATGTGGCTAAAGGCACCCCTAAGCTCTTTTGCTGTTGCCCCACCTCACCTGGGAAAGTGACTGATATGAAGGGTTTCATTCCCTTTCCTTTTCTCTTTTTCTTTGAGTATCATAGGCCACGGCCCTCCCTCAGCCCCCAAATAGCCTTGAAATTTCAGAAGTGAAAAACTGCAAGTAGATGTCTGACCACTTCTGGTTTTGATTTGTGTGAATTTTTCCACACTTCTGAATATTTCCAGGCCTAATGTAGCTCACAATGGCTGCTGAGTATGAAAATTGTTGCCCTGCCCACAGGCCCGTAGCCAGGATTTCGATTCGTGGGGGGGGGGTGAGTTTTTTTCAGGGGGGGGGGTTGGGGGGCTGAGTCTGAGTGAAAGAGGGTCTACCCTAGCAAACCTTTTGTATCATTACCCCAATACCCCCATGCATATGAGATATATTGAGTATGGTGATCAGATCATGATATGAATAAACATAACAGTTTAAATAATGCACCAGTAAGGCCTTTTTGCAAACCACCATGAGAATTGGGGGGGGGGGAGGGGCTGAAGCCCCTCAAGGCCCCCCCCCCCGGCTACATGCCTGCCTGCCCATTATGATAACCTAACCTCAAAGAAATATACCGAGAAGGTGAAGATATAGTAGAGAACAAAACTCATTTTCCAGGTGTCATATTTTAAATCTTGTTTAAATTGTACTCAAACATATGAGTGTATATTGTTGGAAAGTTTCTTTTTCAGGTCAAGATATTTTTTGTTATTTTATGTAGGACATAGGAATTCTAATGTGTATGCAAGTTATTTATCTCTGGAAGAGTTATGAACTCGCAATGCTTTTAACCTCCCCCTACTCTTCAGACAGACTTTTAAAAAAAATAATGGACTATAGTTAAATAATTATTATAATTAGCTAACTAAACTATTTTTCCTTCACTAGATTTTGTGGCAACAAGACAAGATAAACATATATTTATGTCAAATGTGAAAAATATCCCTCTTTTTATATATAATCCAGTTGTTTAGCTGCCTACAAAAGTTTTAAGCATCTATTTATATACAATATTATATACTAATTATATATGTATTATATACTAATACAATATAGTAATATATAATACTGATATTGTGCTATGCTAATAATATAATATATTGTATGTTCATATATCTTGTAAGCTGCTCTGAATCCCCTTCGGGGTGAGAAGGGTGGCATATAAATTTCGTAAATAAATAAATATTTAATATTTGAATTGTTACCATCTACTGAAATTTTGCTGGCAAGGTTATGTTATTAACTGGGAAACAATACATTAATTTGGAAATAGTCACAAAACTTGAACAGAGTAAGATATTGGGCTAGTCTGAGGACTAGCAATATTAGTAGAGGTGTTCAACCCATGCTAAATGACATCACAGAGATGACTTATCAAAATGTGTGTGTACTGTTTCAGCAGAAATGTATTACTTTAATAAAACAAATAACCTTGTAGTTAGCTGTAACCACAAGAAAATTTCTCAAAAATCCAGCATACATATAACTAGTAAGTCAAAGTCTATGCTATTTTTTTAACTTTCCAATGTACCTGAGCTCTTGTCAGAGCTGCACCAGGTGACACCGCTGTGATAGGGCCGATTGAACCTGAGGCAAAATAAGCACATGTTCAGGGCATTAAGTGAAAGGAGGCACCACAGAAATTTCCGATTGTCTGATTTAACATGGATTGTTTGGTGCAAAACTGCAAATTGTGCTGTGGAACCAGGTCCCACAATAAAAAGACTTAACAACTAGAGAAAAAAAAATAAAAGAAAACATTTCAAATATGAAGAAAGTGGGAGTATAACAAAATAAACATTATTCTCCATCTTATTCTAAGCTTGGTTTCATTTCAAAAAGTAAAATTTTACTTTTCAGTTTATGATAGTTTTTACTTTGATTTAGATAAAGATGGAGACACCCGTATCCTTTAAGTGCTAGGGGCCTCCAATGGTCTTGATCTGGCCCAGTATGTAGTGGCACTGCTACATGTCTTTAGAGTTTAATCTGAATGTGTGGCAAAAGTTGCAGGAGGCAAAGAGACAAGCAAAAGTTCAAGGAGAATATATATGTGTGTGAAAGCACATCTTTTAAAGGTTAAATGTTCCCTCTTGTCATTAAGTCTAGTCCTGTCAGACACGGGGTGGTGGTGGTGGTGTTAATCTCCATTTTTAAGCTGAAGCGTCGGCAGTTGTCCATAGACACCTCCTAGGTCATCTGGCCAGCATGACTACCTGGAGCGTGGTTACCTTCCCACTTATCGATCTACTCACATTTGCATGTTTTTGAACTGCAGAAGCTGGGCCTAACAGCGGAAGCTCGCCCTGCTCCCCAGATTTGAACCGCCAACCTTTTGGTCAGCAAGTTCAGCAGCTTGGTGGCTTAACCATCTGTACCACCATGGGGCCCATCTATTGTTTATTTATTTAAAGTATCTGTATCTCACCTTTCTCCACAAGCGGACCGAAGGCGGCTTACAACATATAAAGCAGGGGTCCTCAAACTAAGGCCCGAGGGCCAGATGCAGCCCTCCAAAGTCATTTACCCGGCCCTCACTCAGGGTCAACCTAAGACTGAAATGACTTGAAAGCACACAACAACAACAGCAATCCTATCTCATCAGCCAAAAGCAGGTCCACACTTCCCACTGAAATACTAATAAGTTTATATTTGTTAAAAGCAATACAATAATTAAAATGAAGAACATTTTAAAGTGTTTTTTGCACTACAAATGTGCAGTGTGCATAGGAATTCATTCATATTTTTTTTCAAATTATAATGCGGCCCTCCAACAGTTTGAGGGACTGTGACCTGTTTAAAAAGTTTGAGAACCCCTGATATAAAGCATACAATACAGAAGTTAAAGCGTAGCTAAAATCAAAGATTCCATCTAACCTACACTGAAGAGGTTGACCCCACTTGGATGACTATAGCATGCTGGAAAGTTGTCTTTGGGGAGGCACCCGCACTCTTTGGCAGAGAAGGCTGAAGACCTTGCAGTAGGTGAAGTTTTCCCATTCCCAGCATTCCACAGCATGGAGCCATGGTAAAAGTGAAAGTGCTGCCTGCCAGACTGCAGAGAGAGAGAGAGAGAGAGAGAAGTGAAAGGGACCGGGCTGAAATCTTGCAGCGCCAGGTCCCAAGTGGCTCTCTCTCGCGCGCGCACACACACACTCCGGCTCGCGCCAGGCGGCGGCTAGTCAATGCTCTTCGGAGCGCGCGAGCCCGAGGAAGAGAGCGCGAGGAGGCGCGCGCGCGCCCGGGTCTCCCTCTCTCCGTGTGTGTGTGACTCTCTCTCCCTCTGCCTCCCTCCGCTTCCCTCCGTCCTGCCCCAAAGCCATTGTTTCCTTTCCTGGCGGCGTCAATGGAAACTCGCCCCCGCCTCTTCCCTCCCTCTTTGCCTTCTGGTGCTATTTATACCGCCGGACGCTGCCGTCACGGAGCGCGGTTTCGCTGACGAGGGAAGCTGACGCTCTTGGCGGCCGAGCTGGCGGCGGCGGCTCCCGTGGAAGGCTCCTGAACGTGTGAAGGGATGGACACGTATGTATGCATGTCTCTACGGGTGTGGGGGAGGGAGGGAAGGAAGGAGATCCAAGCCTCCCCCGGGTCGAACTTACACCCCCAAATCTTCCGGCAGGAGCGCAGCGAAGGCGAGAAAGCGAAGCAGGCGGACAAAGCCCAGGAAGAGGTCGATCCCTCCCCTCCCTGTTTCTCTCCCTGAAAGACACCCCCCAGCCCAGAGGGAAGAGGGAAGAAACTTCTTCTTTGGCCAGGTCCGAGCCCCCCTTCCTTACGGAAGGGGAAAGGGGAGGGGCTTCTTTCTCTTCCCCTTCTTTGGCCCCGCCCCCTGAAGGAGGAGGAAGGCACACCCACACAAATACAGACACACACACACACACTATGGACACAAATATAAACACACATACACACATATATATTATATATATACTCACATACATGTATATGCACACACACATAGACACACTATATATACACAAATATAAACACACATACACACTATACACACACACATAGACACACTATATACACAGGCACACTATACACAAATATATACTCACATACATGTATATGCACACACACATAGACACACTATATATACACAAATATAAATATACACACACTATCTATATATAAATAAATATGTACACACAGCCACAGTTATACACATAGACACACTATACACATAGACATACTATACACACACATATAGATACACTATATATACACAAATATATACACATATAAATATTATACAGAGAAATAGACATACCCTATACACATATACACTATATATACACAAATATAAACATACATATATTGTACACACACACTTAGACATTATATACACATATAGGCACACTATATACACACACACATAGACAGTAAACATACACAAATATATATACATATACACATGTATATATTATACATGCGCATACACACATATATTATACACAAACTATATACACATACATAAACACACTATATATACACACAAATATATACACATACACACACATACATATTACGCATGCACATAGACACACTATATACACACATAGACTATGCACACACTATATACACATAGACACACTATATATATATACACAAATATATATACACATCCACATATATATTGCACACACAGACACACTATATACACACATAGACACTATATATATATACATAAATATATACACACATCCACATATATATTATACACATAGAGACACACTATACATACACACACTATACATGCACACACACTATAGAGTATATACACAAATATATACACACTATATATACACACACACATGGACACACTACATATACACAAATATACGCCCGTGTATATATTATACACAGACACACTATGTATACAATATATATATACACACACACATATATTATACACACATAGGCACACTATATATACATGCACACATATACATCTCTACATGTACACATACACATAAACAGACTCTCAATTAACTGGTACTCAAGCAACCAGAATTATTAAGCAGCCAACAAAAATTGAATAAATAATATTCTATATAAGAATTAATATAAAGTCATTTGATTTATAATACAGAAAAACTGGGTTATAATCTGTGGAGTTTGTCTTTTATTTCTGCTAATTTGCTCACCATTACTGTGTTTCAGTATTAATATCAAGTCAAAATGAAGTTTATGCTATGGTCTGGTATATTTTAGGCCTATTTTTAACAATAACGAGCAACCAGAAGCTACTTTTATCTGGCACCTACTAGTCCCCATGCATGCTGGTTAATGGAAAGTCTATTGTGCACACACACATGTGTATACTTTTTCGCCTGAGAAGAAGGAAGAAGAGGGGCTTTGTCAACAATCCAAAGGCATCCTAAAGAAAACATCCTATAGGTGGGATCTGGTGCAAGCACACTAGATTAAGACATTTAGAGGCCCTAAATCATTACCAAATCATCACCATAAATCATAAAAAAAATGTTTTCGAAATGAAGCAAAAAAAAAAAGCAATAAGATGGGAAATAATGTCTATTTTTGTTCATTTGCACTCTTCTCTATTTGAGAAGTTACTTCCAAATTTCTTCTCCTTCCAGAGTTTTTCATTGTGGGAACTGCTTTTTGCAGAACCTAGTTCAGCTGCACCTTTTGCGGTTTTGCACCATATGATTCATAGTGAATCCGGCCATGGAAAATATCTGTGGGGGGGCCTTCCCTTGATGCACATACTTTTTTGCTTCTAGTCCTGGCTGGTAGTGGGAAAGCTGATGTTCTTGCTACAAACTCAAAATATCAATTTGCTCACCAAACTTTTTAATAAAGACATTTTTTGCATTTTCACAGTTGCCATAAGACACTTCTTTCAAGTCTGCTGTTGTCTGCACAGGTTGCGTACACATCTCAAAGCCACATCCGTCATTGCAAAGCCACGTCTCTGCCTCTCCCCTCTTTAGTTCAATTCTGACAATAGTTTTCTGCTGCAGCTGGATTTCCATTGGGTGCAGATGTTGCTAATGGCAGCTTAAGCACGGATGGGCAGATAACATATGGAAAGCAACATGTTGCCATATGGTCCCTTTAGCCTTTCACCTCCAAGAATATCAATCAAAGATATTCTGGGGGGAAATTTAATGACTCCGAACAAGAAGATGAATTGCTTGATACAATTTATATTCCTTGACCTGAGACTTTAGGAGACAGGAAGTGGATCTTGCAGTCTGTCTAGTAAGAATTGTGGGCTAAAATGCGGGAAAGGCTTCAGATATTGTAAACATCTATTTGTCAGCTGGGATCCTGGGAACTGTCAAAGATGTCACATGGCCTAGTCCCTCATAATATAACTTGACAGTACAAAGGATGGTTATATGAATGTATCTATACACATCTTATTAACATGTTATTGACATCCCATTCTTATTATCCCTCTGTTTAGACACTGCAGTTTTCGGTGTTCCCTATAAAGGGAGAGAACAAGAAAAGTATAACAGTACATAATTTAGAAAATTGAATAAATTTTAGCTAATACCTTTCTTGTGCACTCATCAATACTTACATTTTCCGAATGTATATTTATCTTTTCTTTCAGTGACAAAAATGTTGCATCTGTCCTTGCATACAGAAAAGCCATATATACATCATTGAGTCGTCTTATATATTTATACTGGTTTTAAATAATGTCATGTAATTGTATATGAATTTGCAAAAAGAGGTTTACAGTATGAAATGTATGTCTGCATGTCAGTGAGGTGGATTTGTTCATCCCCAAATCTATTTTGCTATATAAAAATATTTGGAGTCAGATCTAAAACCTTTTCTATCATACTTTAGAATTAACACTCCATTACTTATAGCATCCCTGAAGTGTATATTTTTGTTGTTCTTATCTGTATCCGCTTCTGTGTATTTAAGTACATTAGGAAGAAAGGTAAGTCATCATTCATGAAAGGAAGATTCTGCAGAGCTCAAAATCCATGGAAAGGATTATTACGTGCCTCTGTTCGGTGGAGTTTTAGGAGGAGCAATTATTTGTGATTTCTGTCTTAATATACTATCTAAAAGAGTAGGGATATTTTAAGAAGATACAAGTCATTTGCTACTCCACTTTTTTTCGATTTGTATTTTGAAAGGACAAGGCTCTGCTTCAATACATATACTTGTCATTTTTTCCCCAGAAATTCAACCTGTTCACTTATTATAAGGAAGAGGATTAAATTTAGTTACCCTTTCAGGATATTAGACTGTGCCAAACAGGATATTCATACTTAGTATAATACATGTCTGCAATAAGTAGCCAATGTGATTTAGGGAAATAGGAATGCTGAATTCTCATACTGAGAACTGCTAATCTTAGTATTCAAAACTATTTTCAGTTTCAGACCCAGGGGTCTGGCTTTAGTAGGATAACAGACAAAGCTATATTTCTAGCATGTAATGAGGCAGGCTTTGAGAGTACTGTACTATTTTGTATTGCAGCAGCTACACTATCAAAATAAAAGCAGTGTCAGTTCATTCCAAGTTTGTATTGTCTACATTAAGAACTATGAAAATAATCATTTACTATACAGAAATGTAAAAATGAAAGCAGTAGTGCCTGATCCTAATTGAATTAGTTTTGGAAGCATATCATGCTATAAATCCAGGTGCTAATCCTAACTAAAGTAAACCCATTAAATCATTGAGATTTACATAATTGGTGATCTAACATTTAGCAGTTGAATCATTGGGTCTAACCTTGGTGGAACTTGTGGTTTAAATTAAGACAATACAATTGTCCCTCTGTATCCATGGATTCAGCCATACACAACTTGAAAATATTTTGTTAAAAATAAAACGATCAAACCTTTTTTGACCATTTGATATATGGTGCACCAAGTAATTATTTATAGAACGGGACTTGAGCACCCAAGAATTTGGCGATCTACATAAGATCCTGGAACCAAATCCCTATGGATACCAAGGGCCCACCATATGTGCAGATTTACCATCAAAGTTTCTTTGCCAACTTTAAAGGGCCAGTGATTACTTGTTAAAATACAGCCATGTGCAATGGTAATACGACGTGTTCTTCTCAATTGGAGCTATCTGCATGAGGGAGGTATCTACATCAGCTATGGGTTTCAATCAATCTCAATTGTACCTTCTTTTCTATCGAGCATCCTTCTGAAGTATGCTTTGCTATGGAGCAGAAGCCATTAGACTAATTACAAATAAGTGCAGTGTAATATACAGTTTAGCTAATGAAATACACAGCATAGTTGTCACTCATCCATAGCTTGGTTCAAAATGTAGGAGTCACTTTGAGTAAAGTTCTGCAACTAATTTGGAACCAATAAAATGCTTTTTTTTAAAAGAGCTCTGATATGTTGTCTTCTGTTGGGGATTAAATGTCATGCACACAACAATTGTGCGTCTTAAAAGCTACTTAGCTCCTTACTAACATATCCTAGTCTTCACTGTGCAGACCTGACACAGATAAAGAGTTTTGTTAATTGGAAGTATTTTATTTAAGTAAGAGTGAAATTGGAAACCATTAAGCGTTTGACGGTGGGATCATCCATTTTAAAGAGATAGAAAACCGTTATGGGTTGGAAACATCCTAATGAACAGAAGAGGGGAAAACACTTTGCGTAATGCCAGAATGACAAGGTATGTATTTTGATACGGACTTTTTGAAATGTCGCTTCTATAATCCAGGAGAATTTCAGTGTCGGACAGTAATGCTGCTAACACAATGGAATATACCTTTCATAATGATAGGAAAGAGAGAGAAAACCCAGGGAGAAAGGGAGCGTTGTGTGTCATAGATTCTAAGTGCACAGATTTATTTGTGAGCGCAGGTCTGATTTCATTACAACCACAGCTGCTGTCTTCTTGATATTAATATTTCAGCATTCCTGTTTTTCATTTTGCTGTATTATGTATCCTAATAAGTGATTAGCATCTTTTAAAAATGCAATGTTGTAGAATTTTCCTCTAATAGAACTGAATATATTTGCATTTTTAAAAAACTTTTACATCTAAACTTGACATATTCTGAAACATTATTCCATGTAGAATCTATCAGTTTAGAGATATCATAGACAAAACTCTTCTCAACACACATCACTGGTCTGCTGTTTTAGTTTTTGCTGGACTATGAATTAAAATGTGAAAATATACCTCAGAATACTTTCAACAGATGGTTAACGTTTTTAATTATGTTCTGTGTTCAAGTATTTAGATACCAAAATGCAGAATTTTCCTACACCCATAAAATTGTTTGCATTTATTTAATGTATGCTTTTTTGAGACATACAGCCAAGAATGTTTGTTCTCTCTCCTTTTTTTTCACATCATTACTCTGATACTGCTTGATTAGCTCCCTCCCCAGTCATGATTGGTAATTAAAATAGGCATTAAAATTAGTCACTTAGCAATTTTGCTGTTCAATTGGCAATTAAATTACTTAATTGCAATTAAAGTCCTAATTTTAATTGGCAAAATGATAGATGTAGATTTAAGATAATATGTATAAATACTTTAATAAGTATCTATATAAGGATTACTTAATTACTCAACTTCAAGTTTATGTTGTTAACTTCAGAACTTTAAAATGAGCAATGAAATTTTATATTGCAGTCTATTCTAAAGATATGGTAATCAGGTACGTATGTACCACTTATAGGGGCCCTGTTATGAGTTAACTGTTGGGATGTACTAATGCTGTAATCAATGTAACAATGATAAGTCATGGCCGGGATTCTTACTTGGCAGCACAATTGACATCAATATAACTTACTCATGAGTAAAGATATCTAAGATGTGGGTGCTAGACAAAATCTAACGGATTTCTCCTGGGAAGGAAGCTTGCAGAACTTCTTCCATCCAAATAATGGATATAAAGCATCAATATCTAAAGAGACTTTACAGTGCCTGTTTTATTGTCAGTTAGCACCAATGTGTTAGCAAAATTCAAGCACCATCACAAAACACAATAGATAAAATTAAATCCTATAAGCTTATCTTGACTTGGTATGACCAGATTCAAAGAAAGGTAAGAGATGCTGTATCTTATGCAGAAGAGGAAATCTTGGTAGATACTTTGTGTTAGTATTTCCTTTTCCACACATGGGTTACATTTCTCACAAGTATTATTTCAAAGCAAAAGAAGGGATGAACTCCCCACTCAAGTTAAAAACATAGATTTAGAAGTAACAAAAGAATCCAGCATTTGAGGGGGGGGGGGAACTCTTGAGAATTGCAATCTAATTTACAAATCTTAAGATTTTAACAGGAAGTTGCTTTGCTTCTGCCATTCTTCTCAATGCAGATTCTTTTTCTTCCCACTGTTTGAGCATCGTACCCTCAAGTCCAGAATTGTCAGATAACATAACTAAGGTTACATACACAAACTCTAACCCTATTAAATATCTGTATAACGTAAAAAAATTTGCTTTGGTTGCCAAAGCCCTAAGACTCATCTCGCAGAGTTAATGTTCAGCTTGACTGATATCTGTAAAGGTTTGTCAGTGGATATATCAAAAACAATGCTAGTGTAACTTCTTTCTGGAAAATGGGGTGTAGTCATAATTTTGTAGCAGGGCAGGAACACTTGCTAGCAGAGATTTCAAAAGCCAGATTCCACAGTAACAATTGCATTGATATGTGTAGCATTCCCGAACAAATGTACCAAAAATTACATAATTGTTTAAATGAAGAAAAAAATAATGTATCGGTCAAAATGAAGTATCCATTATACATATGAGACCATGTTTTTATAAGATACCCCTTACATGTGCTTGTCAGACAGAGATAGCTATTTTCTAAACAAAAAAAGTCCCCCCAAAAAACCACCCTACCACCCGTTTGTACAATTTATTCTTTTATTATCTGTTCTCAGCTGATGTGATTAATCAAAACTTCACTCTTGACAATGGAAATAATTATTTCAGTGTCCAGAACACAAGCTTTGAATAATATATACATCTTACACCATCCTTTCATCTAAACATAAACAAGATGTAATACAACTCACAATATTCTGTATTTTGGCATGGCTTGTTAATGAAACGCCACTCGGCTTGTGTTAGGCCCTTTTGAATTGATTGTAAAGTCAGCCCCCTACCGCCAAGATCCCTGCACTGCAATAAATGAATGGTTGCAATGGCCAACTTGGGAAGTGCAATTGGTTTCTGCAGTTGATTGTCTGGATGTTTTGATCCTCAGTTGTGCAAATTCTTGCACTGTTATCCCCTAGTAGTTGAAACCCAGTTTTTAAAGGATGGAAAGTTAGGACTGCTCTTTTAAAATGGCTATACTTTGTAAACTTCAAGATACACCCACTTTGCATTCCAAATGGCTCTTCTTTCCCTCACCCAAGTGAGATGTGTCCTGTTCTGTGCACCCAAATCCGGGCTGAAGCAGACTAATTTCCAAGAAATATGGAGTGTGGAACCACACAGAATGGGTACACAGTTTTTTTTAAGCTGGAAGTAAAAAAAAAATCACACCTATAGTAGAGGTAAAGGTTTTCCCTTGACATTAAGTCTAGTCGTGTCCAACTCTTCTATGCCAAAGAACTGGCATTGTCTGTAGACACTTCCAAGGTCATGTGGCCAGCATGACTGCATGGAGCATAGTTACCTTCCCGCCAGAGCAGTACCTATTGATCTACTCACATTTGCATGTTTTTGAACTGCTAGGTTGACAGAAGCTGGGGCTAACAGTGGAAGCTCACCCCACCCCCTGAATTTGAACCGCCAATTTATGTCAGTCAGCAAGTTCAGCAGCTCAATGGTTCTACCTGCTGCGCCACCAGGGAGCCCTAATCACACCTATAGGCCAACTTTAAAAATAATAAATTGTTATTGTGTATCTTCAAGTCTTTCCCAACTTTTGTTGATCTGATTGTAGGTTTTTGTTGCCATTACCTTTCTTTGAGGCCGAATGTGACCTACTGAAGGCTATTCAGGATGTGAACCTTAATCTTCCAAAGTCGTAGTCCAGCACTCAAACCATGACACCACACTTGGTCTAATGCACATCCATATCCATCTACACCTTAGATTGGTCCTAGTTCCAGATCAAGACATAGCTTTTCATTCTGTGAAATGGGAAAGATGAGCATGTGGACACGTCTTGGCCATCCAATATTCAGGCCTAAAAGGATTTTACGGTAAGTAACCTAGGCCCCTTCCACACAACTATAAAATCCGACATCATCTGCTTTGAACTGGGTTATATGGCAGTGTGGACTCAGATAACCTAGTTCAAAGTAGACATTGTGGATTATCTGCCTTGATATTCTGGGTTATATGGATGTGTAAGCAGGGGCCCTTATTACACTGAAGGCATTTGTTAGTACCACTGAAGTGCTATACAGTAGAGTCTTGCTTATCCAACCTTTGCTCATCCAACATTCTGTATTATCTAACGCCCATCTGGATCCACAGCTGTTTCAATACATTGCAATGTTTTGGTACTAAATTTGTAAATACAGTAATTACGACATAAAGTTACTGTTTATTGAACTGCTTTTTCTGTCGATTTGTTGTCAAACATGATATTTTGGTGCTTAATTTGTAAAATCATAATGTAATTTGACGCTTAATAGTTTTTTCCTTAATCCCTCCTTATTATCCAACATTTTTGCTTATCCATCATTCTGCTGGCCTGTTTATGTTGGATAAGTGAGACTCTACTGTAAGTTAACCCTGTTTTCTAGACTATCTCATTTTAGTGGACATTTGCTTTCTTGCTCTTGTAATACTACCAAGACGTTTTGTGAAGTGGAGTTGCACTTGGGGAGGGGAGACAAAATGAGGATCTTGCTCTATTCAGTCAAGATTTCTTCTCCCCCAGCATTCTAAATAATGAGACATTTAAAACTATTTACATCTATTTCCAAAGAAAGAACTGACAAAACCACATCTTGAGTATTCCTTGTGTAACAACACCCTATGAAATTAATGGAGTCACCATACATCAGCACAGCAAGCAATATAAAGGGTTCCTCTGTAGAGTTAATGCAGTTTAATACCACTTGAACTGCCATGTCTCAATGCTATAAAACCCTGGGAGTTGTAGTTTGATGAAGCACCTCCAAGCTTTTGGGGGGGGGGGGGAGGCTAATATGGAGATATTGACCTGACCTGCTCAACCCAAATTTCTCCTGTTTCCATAGTTTGTAAGCAGCACTAAGTCCCCCTTCGGGTGGAGTATAAATACAGTAAAGAATGAGCTAACCATACAAAAAGTGCCACTCAAATGTGGCTGCAGTCACATGTGCATTAAGTAGTACTATCACTGTAGATCATAGTATATGCAAGGAACTGGAAAAAGAAGAACCTCCCCCTAAAGCAGTGGTTCTCAA